AGCTTTGTGGAGGACGGCAAGCCTCGGTTCAATATGGACGCTAACTGTGTGTGGATAGCTATCGTTAAAGAGGTAGAAGTTATCTGACGATTTGTTCAGGAGAATCGCTAGGACAACTATCAAGACATGTAGGAGTGGTATAAATAGCATGTGGAGTCATTGATGCGTGGAGGCCACGAAAACACGTGGAGCAAACACGCCGCATCCGGACTACAATGTTAGGGCGGCATCCCCACCGAAAGCGAGAATACGCAAGTGACCTTCCTATTGGAGGCAACAAGACGACAAGAATTCGAGAAGGATCTGACAATCAACGGATTCTTCGGTTTTGAAGGATTCGACATTTGATGTGGTCAGGCAGAAGTTGAGCGATGGAGAGGATGATGCGTTGGGTATCTCGAATAAAGATCTATGTACAAGTCTGCTCTTATATCCTGGTGTGTGATACGAAATGCAGAATTCTGCTTCGTGATTGTTCCAGAGTTGTTAATGCTTCAGCACAACCGGCTCGAACTTCTCCCACCCATCCAAGCTCTCCTTGATGTTAACCCAATACCTCAGTCTGACAGCTTCGCTCTTCGCAAGCTCAACGTTATCTTTCGCGAACGCATCCTCCAGCACCCTAACACTGTCTTCTATCCTCTCGTCATTCAACGTCTTCATCTCCATGAGATCCTCCTCGCTCCCCGCATCCTCAATTTGCTCCTGTGCCTCCAGGACCTCCATCAACAGCTCCGGATCGTCTACTTTCGCGGTCTCGTCTTCCGCTACTTCGATCCCGCGGAGGGATAGTAGGTATTGCGCGCGTAGGAGCGGGTTCTGCAGCGTCTTGAAAGCTTCGTTTATCCGCGCAGACATAGCTTCAGCTTTCCTCTTATCAGCCTGCGAGTGCATATCCGGGTGCGCTTTTGCCTGCAATTGCAGAAACTCTTTGCGCAGGGAGGGTACATCGATCGCAAAGCGGCCGGTTGGTGGCGGCCCAGAGGGTAGGGATTTGGGAAAGAACTCGTAGTGTGTTTGCGGCGGCGAAGCGTGCTGGTTTGAGGAAGTAGATTGATGCCGTCTCGAGCTCGGGTGCGAAGTTGCGTATCTGGAGGAGGAGGCTAGGCATGTTGCTGCTCTTTGTCGCGTGCGCAGCGGTGTTTGCGCTGCTTCGGAGGTGGCGACTGAGCGCAACCACGATAGGGTTGCAGGCGAGATCGAAGGCATCTTAAAAGGTGCAGGTTAGCTCGTAGAGAGCTTTGATTGAAATCCTGCAAATGTGTTTGACTGAGAGGGTAGAGGTGCAAGGCGTGAAGGGTAGAGGCGGATACTTAGATATTTGATGTTGCGGAGCGAGTTCGGAGGAGGCGAAGAAATCCGTTCGAGGTTCTTGAGCTACGTCATTAGCATCGTGGTCTACGAGCAATGCGACATACAAATCGCCTCTTGAACAAAGGTACTTTTCGATATTTGAGGGTTTTGTAACAAGGGGCCTGTCTTGTGTGCCTTTGAGCAGCTTGTACTGCGTCAATGGAGCGATGAAAAGGTAAGACGGCCAAGCCCTATGCCAGTAACTTTTGCAACACTCGTCCATCTCTCGAAAGTAGTCGACGAGGCATATCTTTACATAAACCACATATAAGGGTATTCGTACGCCTAAAAAACCAACGATGCCAACGTCAATCCCAAACCCAATCACTCCTCGAACTTTTCATATTCAACCTATCCATCTTGAATTGCGTTCTCAAAGTCTGAACGGCGTTGGATCAATGCCCTCTCGCTGGAAAAGCCAAGCTTTGAAGTGTGCTTCACGACCCCATCTACGTGCAGCAAAGGCTGTCAATGCCATGGTGCACGCTGCTGTGGCTCTGATATATGCGCCAGGCTTCGGCCTACTTAGAAGCCTCCGAAGTACAGCCCAGCTAGCTCCGAGCGTCATGGAGATCTGAAACACATTATGAATGTGATTGTCTGATCCTATAACGCTTGATTCACGTGGAACAAGTGGATGCTGTCCCTCTCCTGTCAAGCATCAATTTCCGTGTTCAACCTTCGCCCAGATTAATCTCACCAGTGCGCACCAAGAGCCGAACCATGGTGCTTTGGTGATGATGAAAAGTGTATCAATTGCCCAGCAGTCGATGATATTCTCGAGGTCTGCGGACGGTCGCTCACTTAATTTAAACACCGGTCAAGCTGTCCATGTTAGTAGGTATGGGGAGGAGCTACGGGTTTCTCTCACCTTCACAGCGAAAGACTACAGGATATTCGTTGTGGACCTGTCCATGGCCGTGCAAAGTATCTATTGCTGCCTGGAATCACGTAGGATGACGACGCGTTTGTGTAGCAGGAGTTGGGAGGTAGCACAGATGGTCAAAACCCAATTAGACTAGCGCGTTGTATCTTCCTTCAATCAGACTCTCAGGGAACATTCTTAGGGCAAGTTATGGATGATCTCATCTTGTTGATTGAAGTAGAGAAGACCTATTCAAACCAGCATGCTAGTCGATTCCGCTGGTTCATACTTACGTTTTCGGCTTCCACTGGTCCATTGCCTATGAGATCAAGCTCGAGACTTTTTGGGATATCCGTAAAATGGTATAACAGAATATACATTTCCTTAATAACAACGCTACGCACCTTCTCCACCGCTGGTAAAAGCTCACGGCTCTTCTTAGCTAACGACTCCTTCTTGACCTCCTCCCTTGCATACGTTGTGACACAGGATCAGTGGCCTCATCACAGCAGTCCAATGCCGATGAAGGGCTGGCGCAGAACATCATCTGAGACTGACTTGTGATATGCCGTTACACGTACACCTTGACAGGACTTGGAACATTTCGAAGCTTCTAATGTTGCTGGTAGACAAAAGAGACCGCCATACTTGGAAAACTTTTCGTGATGCGCTTCACTGTGCGACAGGCGAAACTGATAAAGCTATAATACATACTGAAACTGTTTCTGCCCAGCCGTCCATCTGTTATCATGCCTGATATTGTGCCGAGAGGGCTCGGATTGTATTCGTGTAGGGATATTTCCCGTCACTGGACGACCCGGCTCTTTCTACTTGAGCTTCGCACTCCTGAAGCAACCGTTCAATTGCCTGTAGATGTTTGCGAGCCCGTTCCACTTCCGTGGACAATGGATTAGGCACGCCATTTGCCTCTTGCCGACTATGTTCCTCAAGCGTAGCCAACTGCGGTACTAGTATCTTTAAACTCTCCCAATTGTGCCGTGTCATACCGGCCAAGATTTGCGGGCTGTGGCGGTTTGTCCAGTCATCTCGTAGTCTTGATTCATGTGGGAAAAGTCGTAACGATGCAGTCTCTTCACGCTGTGCTTGTCGAATTTGTCTCGATATATCCGCGATGAGAAAGTCCAACAGTGTTTTCTCAATCCAAAGTGACCTCACTGAGGCAACCAGAAGTTGAAGTTCATAGCGGAGAATCTCTTTGGAATCGTCCTCAACCATCATTGTGTAGAATTCATCTTCCTTCTTTCCCAAAATTTGCCAGATGTACTCTACTTCAGTGGCGAATTCTGCGCGAAGCATTTGAAGATTTGCCTTGCGTTATTCCAGCGACTGCAGACCACTAAGAACAGGACTTGTCAGGTACTCTCGATCAAATTTAGACGATTGATCGCATCCATATCCCGCTGTACTCGTGTGAATGAAATTGTCTCCACCGGGTGCAACCGCAGGCCCATTCTGGGGTGGACCCTGTCCTGATTGCAGAAGCGATGCATACGTGAGGACCTTGATCTTCTGAACGAAGAGGTAATATGAAGCAACAAGTGGTAGTGATGCCCTAAACTCCTCATTGTGGAAGACCAGTTCAACCTCGCATTTTGCTTGGTCGTACAGTTTCTGGGTGAGCTAGGGTAAAGCATGGTTAGCATGAACAACAGACAAGACGATTTGGGGGTTTGGGCATGTATTTGACCATGCGTACCTGTTGTTTGCAATAGCAAGTCTGACTGGCTGGAATCTCTCGTAATAGTAGATAGATAATGCTAGGCCTACAGCTGATCCAACTGAGGCTACGCCAACATGTCGCCTCCAACCACGGGCACCCGGGAACGATGACCTTGATGCAATGGAGAGCGCAAGACCTCCGACAGCCCCACCGAATGCCCATCGTCCATAGTTGTCTGCCCATTGTTCCAATCGACCAGTTTGAACGGCGCTGGCTTGACTCCGTCCTTCTTTAAAGCGACGTTGCTGAGTTGCACTCTTAAGAAGTTTCGAAAAGAATGTTCGGCAGCGACGACCGTCGTAAACACGGCTGCGCTTCGCAAAAGGTTCCGGGTCGTGTTTTGCCCAAAACCGACAAGAGGCCAGTCCAGCAAAGGGCGGCAATGCAACCAGATCCCGGGACTCGAACGAGGAAGGGTTCTGCGGATAGGGGATCGGGAAGTCTTGGCTTGAGATGAGCATGCTGTCCTTCGCCTAGGTTCCTGTCAGTAGTTGGTCGTGAGAGTAACAGGGTACAAACCTGAAGGCACGAACAGCCGCACCATGCTGCTTTTGTGCGCGGATGCAACGAGGTTCAGGCGATTCAATTGACACTCCCACACGACGCCGAAAGCTTTAGGACGGTCATGAGGAGATGATCGCTGGAGACAAGACCTCGACAGGCGCCTACATTTCTTGTTACACAGATCGAGCCACGCCGCAGGCTAGATTGGCTGGAGTCCAATGAGCAAGTATGTTCACTGCTCGTCAGTAGGGCTCCCATTTTCGCGCGAAACTACATGTCTGAGTATCGAGTACAGATTTTAAATCGTTTGCGTACACACATGGTATTCAAAGACTCCTCGAAGTAAGGTGACAAGAGTTGTGGGGAGGCCTGACGCGAGTCGGACCCACCCTCGATTTTCGCGCCGTAAGACCCCTTGCGGATGGCCACTGCCGCAACCTTGGAAGCGAAGCGAGGCCATCCAGGTACAGTCGCGTAATTGTTTGCTATGAATATAATGTTATCATTTGGACATTTCTTCCAACAATAACACAAATCGGTCTTGTGGTCTAGTGGTATGATTCTCGCTTAGTACGTATCTTCTAGCAAATCGTGTTGGAAATGAGAACTAACATATCTAGGGGTTCACCCCGAGCATAGCTTGCGAGAGGCCCCGCGTTCGAGTCGCGGCAAGACCCATCTTTTTGCGCTCATTGAGTATGTTTTGTCTAGTGTCACTACCCACATCGCCCACACAAAGCTGGAGATCGGGTGTACAGATAAGAAAGATAAGCCTCTGGTCTCGTGGTTGTTTTTGCTTGAGGAAAGCATAAACTGTTTTTTTTCTTTTCAAAGTATGTGAGGCAGCCTACATTAAAGAGACCATCGAATAATTCTTTATATAGCCGACATCACTCCAAATTTGACGGATGGAGCTCCGCGACGCCGCGGACGGGAGTTTTATCATTACTCCGACGCCTGTGTATCTATGACGGCTGTGACTACTGTAACGGATCCTAGCGTAGTCTGCAAGGGAATCAAGGTCTAAAGAAATAGGATTTGGTACATAACAAACGAATGAATAACGGAAAGTAGGAGGCTAAGTCTATTAGCTCTGTAAAGCGTCTGAAAGACGACCAGTGTATAGTCTTAGAAGATGGATAGATGATGTCTTCTAACTTTAGTCGGAAGGAGATAGATTGACTATAGTATAGAAAGAGGAAGCAGTACTGCTAATGTTGAATCAGCTGTTGGAGAAGAAGGGCGCGCGGGTGAAGCAAATAACCTGGAATGAATTGGTGTCGTCTATCAATACTGAAAGGACCGTTGGAGCAGATAGTATACCTGAGACAGGAAGCCCGTGGAAGGGTTCCCTAAGGGTAGTCACTGCCGTCGGAGTAGAGGATATACGTTGGAAAGGACGTTTGTGAAGGAGGGTGTAATGGGGTCCGCGAAGGTCGTTATAGCAGTTATACAAGGGTATACGTTGTATAGGACGTCTATGTCGAGGAACACCGGGATCCGTGAAGGTAGTCACAGCCGTGGGAGTATTTGACACGTGTTCAACAGAAACTCATCTGTAGAAGATGACCCCTCAGCCGACGAATGAGGCCTTAGCATCGGAGTAGACTCTGGTCATCTAGATGAGACTCACGTCCTCCGGCAAGAACATATCTCTACTTTCTCTGTAAATACAGACGGCACTTGCCAGGGACGGCCACCACAACAGCAAAGCCCGCTGCAACCCTTCGCAAAAGCAGTCGAGATTTTATCCGACTAACGACTGGAGCCAGAATTTGCTCCTCCAGCTCTTGTCTCTGAAGCAACTTTATCTCCCGTCATTGAGGAATCCCTGCAATAGGCGGTACTTTCAAAAAGGACAGCAACAGCGGAGATTATTAGAGAGCAACGTCCATTGGAGACATGCATGCCTACGAAACAGTCCGTTGGAGAAGGCTTGCGAGACGGACAGCGTACCCCAAATCGACTTAGGGATATTGATATGTTTGCCGAATCAAGTCCGTAGAAAGTAGCTATCACTACGGCTCTCGAATCTGTGACCTAGACACGAGTTCCGATCAAGCACGGCTGTGTCAGTCTATCCGGCGGACAATTTCGTCCTCCTCCCGTGTTATTCCCCAATGACCGCAAATGCCCGTCTCCGTTCTTTCTCGACCTGCAGAAGGCGAAATTGGTCTTCTGTAATGCCCTATATACCACTGGGAGCAATGTCCTAGGCCACACAGCAGAAATCTGCTGCGGATATTGGAGTCAAAGCAGAAGCTATTGACAAAGCTCCATAGCTTGGAAATCAGAACAGACTTAGATGAGACATACCCTTTAAGCTTGCAGATAGTGGGCTAACAGAGTTTGCTAAATGGCTCAGGAGCACTTCAGTCTCCAAGGACTCCCTTGACAGGGCCTCCCTCAACCGTAGTAGCACTTCAGGGTGACTTTTCCAGAGCAAGTAGATATACTCCTACTTCGAGAGGGGGTTGGTCAAACACTCTCCTGTGCACTCTCGCATATTGAACTTGTGCCATACCTGAGCAGTATTGCCATGTCGGAACTAAGGGTGCAGATATGGCATTACGACTCTTCAGGTGCTTCATCTGTACAGACGTGATCCCAATATGCAATTTTTGAAGACTTAAGTGCTTCCGAATCATTCTCCATAGTCATATGCTACGAGCATAGAAGTCTACACAGGGTATTTTCAATACTCTTGAGTGGCGACTGCAAAGGGGATCGGCCGTTATGGATGAGGAGCTACTAGTCTGGGGCCTTCCGCAACTGTAATGGCTTTCACTCATCTTAGACGCTATAAACATGTTGTCTTTAGACTAGAACATGAGACCCTATGGCATCTATTGTTTGAAAATGTAATGGGGACACTAATTGAGTACCTCCTTTGACCTCGAGCCCTCTACGGCAATATCCCAAAAGTCGGACAAAAAAAACAAGGACACTTAATTTCTGTCTATACATTCTGCTTCTGCCCGGATGTGTTAATGGCTGTCGCAAACGCTCCCCTAGACGTATAGTATGAACTAGATAGAAAAGTTATGATATAGCTGCAGTATATTCTAAATACGGTAGACACCTAGCTGGATGAGTAGGAGATTTTGCTCAGGTATTTTGAAAAGCTCTTGAGTATGCCACGCAGTATTCTCTATCCCCTAGACCGTCCAAATTGCCTTTCACAGACAAGCTAGAGGATATGATACAACTCTAGGCCACTCCATTAGTAGTCCAGATCGGCTGCGTTAGTTTTACGACAATATTGTCGGACACCGGGGAGAGCGCTTATACCAACTTTGATCTTACGAGAGTGGTAGACGCTCAGCACATTAATCAACACCATCCTTGATCAGCTGGCGGAGTGGAAGAGGCCGTTGGGCTCGAATCGTGTCCTGGACTCCACAAAGCAATTATCCAGAGCCTGCTGCCTTCCTTTCGTTGATATATATGCATCGTACGTCAAGGCATTTGAGGACTTACTAGTGGCTAGTGATCTTCTTATGTACTTTCTGCGAGCCACGAAACCGCTCCTTTTTCCGACTTATGGCCAACTACCCTCCTTCCTAGCACCGAACTTGTTCAAGGATTTCAGTTAAACAATTTTACGAACCGCCACCGCCGGACCAATGAGACATATGGTCAAGACTACTTTCATGATCAGCATGGACTACTGATCTTGTGTTCGTGGAATTTAACTTAATCGCTCGCTATACTTGTTATTATCCGGGTTTTCCCTTTCACGCTCACTAATTTACAGCAGCGATGATACTCTAGGACATCAAAATTGATACTGTATTGCAAATTTTTGAAGTGCTGTGATCGAAGTGACGGAGATCCCACATCATAATGCGAATAAAGCCTATGTACCAGATTCAAATCGTCTCCCGGACGAAGTACTCCTGGTTATAGATTGCTAAGTGTACCTTCATACTGAAAGATTGTTGCGAAGGGGATTGGCATCCGATAAACTCTTACTCGAGCTCTCAATCACTTCACTATCCCATAGCCTACGCATAATGAGCGTCCATACCTTCAAGTCGACGAACTTCAAGTACTTAAACCTTATATGTGTATCACTGATGATGAGCAAATGGATGAAAGAGAATTTTTGATCGGTCTCATGTAGTGTACTTTTGAAGTACTTCAACGATATATTATCAGGCCCCTACTATAGTTCCTAGAGTGCCGTAGAGGTTAAAACTAGCTCCCACCTAAGTATTGTTTGACCGAAGAAGCGCTTCCACCGGGTAATCCATCATAGTATATGCACCCCTACTCCGGGACGAAGACTAATTCGAGAGGCGACTCTGAATTGTTCCAGGCTCTGGTGCTATGTCATGGTCAGTCTTGGACTTAAGCACCAGCTTTATGATGGCTTACTGTGCCTTGTACTCCACGTCAATACCATGTCCTTCCGTTGCTGCTCTGATTATGTCCATATCGTTCTTCTCGATGTGGCCAAATGTGAAAATAGCGACAAGGACCGGCATAGGCAGATGCTCGACAATCTGGGCACTCAGGTCAAGACCATCTGCGATGATCTCGTTAGAATATGAGAGTCCCCCAGGAAACATATTATGTATTTGACGTAAAGCCAGAGCAAAGCTCGCATTTGACCGGGCCAGTCTGTCGCTCAGAACAAATATGTTCGAAGCGGTCAAGTTGACCGGCCAAGGAGTATAGCTGCTGTCCGGGTTATTCTTATCTTGGACCCTGAATACGAGATCGCCATCATATACACGAAGATCAACTCGGCGAACTGTACCGCTTTTGAGTGGTTGCTGAAAGGCTTGGAGTTGCTCCCTAAGAAATAGGGATCCATCGGTAAGCGGCCCGAGATTCTCCTCGAGCATGTCAAGAGATACCAGTCCGGCGCATGAATTCGCAAAGATCTCCAATTTCGCCTTGCTCTGCGTGAGTAAGTCCAACAGCAGATGCTTTACCGGAAGCTTGAGCCCAGTCCAAGGCAGAAGTTGCTCCTTGTTTTGTTTTCGGCTAGTCCGCAAGGACGCACGACGAATAGCAAGGACCTCAATAGCTTGTTTCGATAGTATTGGCAATAGGGAGAAGATAGAGATATCTCCCTGCAGGTTCAGGTCCAGGTCATTCAGGTCCGGAAGAGATGCTACCGCGGCCACAAAAGCGCCAAACATGCTCGAGTCGCAGCCATACCCCGGCGTTCGAAGAACCTGTATATTCGGTGCCATGGAAATAACTCTCATGATCGATGGTATTATTCGGTGCAAATCAATTGCCTCCCATTCTGATTTTTCATCCACGATCACGGTCAGCATTCTGAGATGCTCCGCAAAGTGTGGCCGAGCGGTGAAGCTACACAGAACACTGTGCATGTTTGTGCGTGCGATATGGCCCCAAAGACGGAAAAGTTTGACTGTGATCCGACTGTAAAGGTAAGGCTCGGTGATACGGTGGAACTTCTTTGACACGAGGGAGAGGCTGGCGAGCGTCGTGACACTGTCGCCCTCAACGCAGAGCTGTATGGTGCGGTCGATTAGCTCCTCCGGGAGAGTATTGAGAGTAGCCATTGCTCCGAAGCGTGGTGGTGTTGACGAAGTTGGTCTAATTGGTAGGGATTTGTAAAGACTGCGGGATGCGTTGCGGGAGAGGGGAGAAAGGCAGGCGCGAACGAAAACAAGCGCGCCTGCCTTTACTGCGA